GCCATGTTTATTTGTTAATGAGTTGCAAAATGATTCTTAGGTTTGCATGGACAGTAAAATAGTCTCTTCTTCAGTTTATTCAGACTTTTCCTTCTTTTTACAAGACAGTTCATCCCAGTCGGGATAGAAAGTCTCTTTGATTCGRTTGCAGTGCTCCTCGAGATTTTTCAGCTTTGTYAATATCAACTTTCCCTGTGGAGAAACCGGCGTCAGGAAGAYGAAGCTRCWCACRYACGAGAACAGAACAAYATCAGCAAGGCAGGGTTTGTCTCCAAACAAAAAATTCTTTTTACCAAGAATTTCCGACACRGCTGTGAGRTCTTTCTCAGCTATCCCATAAATCTCCTCGACAGAATGACGACCAATCCCGTGGCAGTAGAGGTAGCCTTTGACAGTTCTTTGGATCAGAAAGCGAAATACCAAGTACTTTAGAGGGAAAATTAGATTTCCCAAGAAAACATTACGTGCTGTCTCAGCACCACCACCAAGAAAACGAAAATGCCCCAGAGTCCTAATATAAACGATGGAACAAGTTAATACCATGGCAACCAGAGCATACATAATATAGCTGCAGTGGCCTGATGGACTTATAAGTAAGATAAGATAATTATCRGGTGTCTCATCTGGGCACGCAAGCGCATGGGCTTGTTTCCACGCTCATTGTTTATTATTACATGATCAAAAGGCGCATTTACATATTCATTGGAGCATGTGCCGTTAATTATTATACCGATTCACGCCGCGTCATTCATCTTTTTACAAAACACACTGCAAAAAAATATATAACATCACCATGACCTTTGACAAGAGTAATAGCTTTAAAAAGATGACGTCCTCACCAATAAGTATTTTCCTCCAACATCACCAGTACAGATCTAGCAATGCCTTTCTGTTCCTCGCTCAAGTGATCATCAACATCGACTCCAAACTCCTTATTAAGAAACTCAATACAGAAGTTCGAGTCTGCAATCTTTTGCCCGTTGTATTCTATCCAAGGCATTTTCCCTTTGCTTGACATATTGGGACTAAAGTCGCATTCGTAGGGAATCTTTGCCATGCGAAGGTAGGTTTCAAGCTTCAAACATGGTGGCGACAGGTTAGGAATACCAACATAATCTCGCTTAAACTGATGCAGAAGAACTGTTCCTCGAGGAACCTTCTTGGTTTTCCWCTCTTTTGAACCAAGAAGCTTGAAGGCAAAAAAGATGCCAAGCGCTGCTCCTGCTAAGCAAGCTGCAGACCAAAAGGAAAACTCCATTTCCAGTCACGGATGAATTGCGATTGCTTAGGGACACAGGGTGTCCAAAATAAAGTACWCTGAGGCCGAATTTGACGACACAACWTTTGCCAACAACCATCGCATGTGACCTGCATAAGTCTTCCTTAYAACATGGCTACAACTATGGTGGGGCTATTAAGTGATTGTTTAAATCCCTACGACTGTTGTATATATTCTGTAAGGATAACTTACGCAGGCTGAATGCGAAAGTTGTGGGCAAAAGTTATTCTGTCTAAATCGGCCTTTAAGAATAAAATAGGTTAATAAGACCATATCAAAACAATTCATCGGATTACTGCTTTAAAAATGGTAATAGTAAAAGTCAGGTAAAAGTAAAAGTCATAGACCTTTTAAAAACATACAATTTTGTCAAATATCATTGGTTAATCACAAGATCCTTTWATCATGTTTTATGCATTAGTGGCATCAATGAAAACGTCAYGTGCGGCACGATTATTTAAGCAATAAATCATAGCTCTTGATATATATAAAGAATTTTGTGCGTATAAATTATGGTGGACTATTGCAGAGTGAAAGTCATTAGAGTRGACGCACTTAATCCTGCATAGACCTTTTCAGAAATACAAAATCATGGTGCACTTTGGTCTACCTTCAGTATAAAACAACGCCATGGCGGGCAGAATGAACAAAGATGTTTGTACTGTATCTAATCTAGGCTACAGTGCATTGCAATGCTATTTATCATATAATTATCTATGAAATACCTATATTTCTCTATTTCGTAAAATTGATATTTTCACTAGTGAAAATAACATGTTATTTTCACTAGTGAAAATAACACATTCGAGGTTTCACTAAATAATGCAAGTAAGAAAAAAAGGTATTTTACGACATATTTTGTTTTCCCATAAAATTATATGATAAATAGAATATTACATGTTCGCTTGGGGATACGAATTTTATCTTCTCGTGTTGAAAATCTCTCTCGTTCGCTACGCTCACTCGTGAGAGATCTTTTCAACACTCGAAGATAAAATCCGTATCCTCCGCGCGCCCATGTAATATCCTCTATATCAGAGGAAAAGCCCGGACGTAAAACAAATATTAGCAATAACTTCTAAATAGTATTGATTAAGTTATCAGTATAGGTTTCTCAAAGTCTTCACACTYCCAATGACTTTTGGGCGATTTGTCAAAAGATTTCAATCGGCTGCACTGATGCACTACTTATAATAAAGAACCATAACAACCGCTGTACCTTGCGCGCTCGTGTTATTGTTTACATACGTTTAAATGCGTCAAGCATACAATAGATTATAGATTGATAGTACCTGTGAGGTACTTAGTTGAAGGTATTTCTGTCCAAACTGAAAGGACAGAAGACGATTCGCGCTCACTTTAAGAAATCCTACGAATCCGCCATTTTCGTGTTCACCTAAAATGGCGCTTCGGCGCGCCCGCAGGGTACAACGGTTGGTTATGATTCTTTAATATTGTTTAACGGGAGTTTGCAGAGTTTTACACTTATACTCTTTGTACCTTACAAGGCAAGGATGACTTTATTTATATCTACAACGAAGGGATTTATGTTGATTTTGAACAACATAGGATGTTATCCTATGTACATTGACGTGTTCTAGTCTAAAGAGAATGGCTCCCTTTGTCCCGATAAAACGTCTTGCAATGAAGATTTTTGCCAAGTCTTCTTCCTTATAATCAATGTCTCAGGCAGTTTTTTWCTTCTTCAATGCCACTTCATCCCAGTCAGGATAAAAAGCCTCTTTCATTCGTTTCGTGTGATCTTCAAGATTCGTAAGCTGTGTTAAAATCAGTTTTGCCTGTGGACTTTCCTGCATCGTATAGATAAAGTTGCTGACTTGTGCGAAGAGAGCAGCATCGGCAATACATGGTTTGTCTCCAAACAAAAATTTCTTTTTACCAAGAATTGCTGAAACAGCTCTCAGGTCTTTCTCAGCTATCCCATAAATCTCTTCGACAGAATGACGACCAATCCCGTGACCATAGAGATAGCCGTCTACCTTGCGTTTGAATGGCASCAACCGCCATATTATTTCTCTGAAAGCAAGGGGGACGTTTCCTAGCACCATGTCTCTGAATTTGTACTGATGTTCGTGGCACCATCGGTAGTGAACGAGGGTCCTAGAGCAAAAGGTCAAGTGATATGTTACTGCAGCCATTTTATCACATCAGTAGTCACACACAATAGAGGATTAATCAAGACAAAACACCGCGTTCATAGTTATAACCTGTAAACAGATAATAGTTTTTCATATTGTGTTTTGTGCACGTCGCCTCGTCAGCCTCGTTCTTGATTATTTTGTAAGTTGTTTCACCTACTTTTTACGGTGTTAAATTTATCTTTTTACATGATTATTTTTGCTTGACTATAATTCGATGAAATTCAAACGTCTGCTGTTCGTATGAATGTATAAACATTAATTATTCTTTTTTTCTATAAAATCAAATAAAAATGCAGAGAGTGCAAGCAGAGCTAGATGGAACATCATCTAAWWAWWWWCTACTTCACCRTGCCCTCACTCMCGCCATAAACATTAACCGAGCCACTTTTCAGTGATATTTCTCACCAGTAAGTATTTTCTTCCAACATGACCATTGTGGCTCTWGCAATGCCTTTCTGTTCCTCGCTCAGGTGACCATCAACATCGACTCCAAACTCCTTATTAAGAAACTCWATACAGAAGTTCGAGTCTGCAATCTCTTGTCCGTTGTATTCTATCCATGGTATCTTGCCTTTCTTTGACATTTTGAAAGTATAGTCGCTCTCGTGGGGAATCTTTGCCATACGAAGGTAGAGTTCTAGTTTCATGCACGGCGTTGAAAGGTTTGGAACACCGAAGCCTCKACCRGTCTGATGAAGCAATACTAMACCKTGAGGRAYACTTTTGCTYTTTCKATCCTTTGAGCCAAAAAAYTTGAACGCTAGAAAAATAGCAGCGAGTATGGCCGTAGCACAACACAAAGAGCYAAATGTRAACTCCATTTTGCTTGAATACTTTAGAGCATCAGATTTGAATATTTTGGACCATTCAAATAGTCACGCAAGYGCTTTTCCCGAGGGGGAGGGGGAAGGGAAGGAAAAATGATAGCTGTCACGACTCTGTAATTGATTGGCTTTTCCCATCAACTTGTCTCTCRGCTTTGGTATAAAAGAAAAGTCGCTAAAAAATTGCAGGGTGCAGCTTTTTTGGCAGCGTTTAGCGTTTAGTACTGCATTGYCACAAGTTGCAGTGCCATTGCAGGGAGTATAAACTTCAGAAACATTTCTCGCAAAGTGAGGCATGTSGTCTAGTCGCARGTYAATATTCACAAATTTTATGTTTCGACAACGCGGTTGCGTGGAAAAGTGSTGAGAAAATGGAGCATGTGTGTGTTATAAATTTAGTCATGATAACAAGCTAATATACACAATCTCTTYCCTTTACTACTCAACCACAGATATTTCACAGCATTCTTGATTAATATTACAAGGTCCAACACGTCATAGCTGCCATCTTGGAGGAAATTCAACACAGGATTTCTCATTAGTATTTATTGTTCATTCATCCAACATGGTCGCCACTGTCTTTTATCTTTTGAATCTCATTGAAATGGTTGAAAACGACTAACTCTCGTAGTCGATGACTACGTCATTAAAAAGTGGCTTCAATCATTTATTCAATTTTCGTCTTCTCGTTAACAAGCTCATCCCAATCAGGATAGAAAGTCTCTTTCATTCGATTGGAATGATCTTCTAGGTTCTTCAGCTGCGTYAAAATTAACTTCCCCTGTGGACAATTTGGCTTCGGATGAAGGAAGTTATACACAAGGGCAAAAACAGCGGCATCTGCAAGGCAGGGTTTGTCGCCAAACAAGAACTTCTTCTCTCCAAGAATTGCGGAAACAGCTTTCAGATCTTTCTCTGCTATCCCATAAATCTCTTCCGGTGAATGTCGTCCAATCCCGTGCCCGTGCATATATTGTTTTGTTTTATTTTGGAAGTACGCAAAAATTAGACAGCGGATTGGTTTGGGGAGAATTGCGTATGCTGTTTCACGGAACTCWATCGCAAAATCACCCAGCCAACGGTAATGGACCATTGTCCTGAAAAGAAGAAGGAGAATAATATATGGAATAGACCTCTGAAGCTTTTACGTCATGTACCGTACAATGCATTTTAGGATATGTTTGGGACAGAACATGGCGGATTTCTTTTGTTTTCTCTAGAAACTGATCCCACAATGCATTGAAAATCAAGTGTATCTAGTCGTTTTATTTGCTTGCCGATTATTACGGGGGAAGGGGTGGGGGTTGGAATGGGAGTGATATTAGGTACTCAGGTTTCTCGCGAGAAGTCTTGAATATTTCGTTTGTTTCCCTAAGCAAAAGCTATCAAGATATTCCTCGATGGTTTATATTTCTTACCAATAAGTATTTTCCTCCAACATCACCAGTACAGATCTAGCAATGCCTTTCTGCTCGTCGCTCAGGTGATCGTCAACATCGACTCCAAACTCCTTATTAAGAAACTCAATACAGAAGTTCGAGTCTGCAATCTCTTTGCCGTTGTATTCTAACCACGGCATCTTGCCTTTGCTTGACATTTTGAAACTGAAGTCGCATTCATAAGGAATCTTTGCCATGCGAAGGTAGGTTTCTAACTTCAAACATGGCGGCGACATGTTCACAATGTTATAAATTCGTTTGAAAATGTGCAGCAAGACAACTCCATTGGGCACACTTTTAGTCTTTTTTCTTCTTGAGATATGCAGCAGTAATCCAATTAAAAAAACAACTGAAATTCCCAATAGAACGATGTAAATCGCGAGCTCCATTTGTAGTTGTACTTCAATCTTTAAATCTTGGCAGCAACTTTCAAAATATCAGCTCAAAGTTTGATCTCAAAATTATCCAGATTCAGTTCCAGGWACAGTGGATATCTTTAGATTGGGGGTAAATATTCTTACAACGATTAAAATGGCTATAATAGTTCCGATACAGGCACAAAAAGACGAAAAATCAAGATCCAACTGCAGACTTGGTGTAATGGAACAACAACTGTCCATGTCAGTGGGCTTCCTGTGTCAATGAATGGCAAAGGTAACCCAAATTGAAAGTAATAATTTCTTGCAACGGAGTACGCTATGAGCGCTTATCTGTGAAAAAGAAAGAAAGAAAAAGAAAAAACGAAAGGAAATGTCATGAAAAGGGTAATTTAGCAAAATTTTTCATAGATATTCAAGAAAGAAGGATTGTGTACTGAAGGAAAGCAAGGAGTAAACGAACTCGAGAAATCGTAGCAGAGCAGTGGAGAGAGGCTAGACGAATCGGAGAGTTCAGTCCAAAAACAAGAGAAATAGAGAAGAAAGAAGAAGAGACAAGGCCGAAGATCAAAATTTGGGAAAATTCCCTTAATAGTTTTTGAACCCAGCCCTACTTGACTCTGCGCCAATATGGAAGAGCAAGAAGTGCTTCCTGTCATCCTTGAATTGCTCCAATTCACTTCACCACCATAATACTCTCTCTTTTGAGGACATTTCTGGAGACTGAAAGAATCTGACCAGCTACCTCTTGGAAAGGGAAAGAATTCCTGAAAGTCCAAGAGAGGGTCAAGAAAACATAACCTAGATTTAGAATATTGCAACTTCCTGGTTTCGTATTCAAGTATCTACCTATCAAATGATCAAGTATCAGCWGCCATTTCTTGGTATCAAATGTTGACCTCGCTCCGTTTCATTGTTTACAACTTCCGTTAACACCCTATTCTAGGTTCCTCCTTTACCCCATAAAACATGATGATTTGCAGTTTTAAAGGAACTGTTTCTTAATTTATGTTATGGCCTTTGTTATTCAGATATGAAGCAAACCGAAGACTAAAAAAGGTGAACTTTTAGTACGGATTGTTTTAAAGTGTGTTTCTTGCGCGGATAACACCATCGCAACGCTGTGCAATCCCCAAGGGTAATCCCCCAGACTGTTTTGCTATCCTGTATCATTTCKATAATGTATTTTGAAACTGAAAATCGTTTAGAAGTAAAAAGAGCATAATAATATATTGTGGTCCAAGGTTTCGATCCAAAGCAGCTTTTACTATATGGGATTACTAATAACTTCCGGTGAGTCGACCCACCAGCTTCCGTTCGCGCATGACGTCATAACCTAACATGCGGTACTGTACTATGCAGTTGTGTGCGGAGCCAAGACGGTGAGGTTGATTTTCTGAGTAGTTTTACCTGATTGAATCTTTTCAATGGTCGTTATGAGTGAGATATAGCAGGATAGATGTCTGCAGGCCCGAAAGACGTCGATGAATGCAAAGAAGAGGTATTCTCTGATATTTCTTGCTGGGATTGTTGGCTGTTGTATCTTCGTGGCATTCAGAATCATCACAGAGTCCAGCTCGCGTTCTTCAAATGTCAACGCGCGACAACCCCCGTATTTAGATCTTTACAAGCCGTCTTTTATCAATGTTTATGATGAATATAGACTGGATAATGTTTCTTCGACGATCCAGCGTCCATGGACTGGAAATTCTGAAAGAACTAACTCGAAATCATGTTCWATGGAAGATTGTTTTGACAAAGCCCGGTGTCTTCACAGCTTCAAAGTTTACGTGTATCCCATCCAGCCGGGGCAAAAACTCTGCCCCGTATTTGCAAAGATCTTAAAAGTTTTAAAAGAGAGTAGTTTTTATACAGACGATCCTAAGCAAGCATGCTTACTTGTGCCAAGCGTGGACTTATTAGATAGAGACAGATTGAGTTCTGATTACGTTCACGATGTGAGCAGCAAAATTCGAAATCTACCATTCTGGAATTCGGGTCGAAATCACATCATTTTTAATTTATTTTCTGGTACATGGCCTCATTACTCTGAACATTTGGGGTTTGACTACGAAAATGCAATCTTAGCAAAAGCCTCTATGTCTACCGATCTTCTCAGACCGCAATTTGATATCAGTCTTCCTTTATTTCCAAAGACGCATCCACAAAAAGATGGCGTGAACTTACCTCATTCTAAACTCATTTTCCCTCTCGAGCGGAGGTATAAATTAGCCTTTAAAGGAAAGCGGTATCTACATGGTATAGGTAGTGCGACTAGAAATGCACTATATCACATTCACAACGGCAAAGATATTATTTTGCTAACGACATGTAAGCATGGCAAAGGATGGGAGAAGCTGAAAGACGAGCGCTGCGATAGAGACAACGCACTTTATGAAAGGTAAGCCTAAGCTTACTTTTTCGCCTGTAAATCGATATTGCTTCTGAATTTGTTATTGTTTCTGAGGAGAGTTGAAATATTAACGCCTTCAAACGTATTCAAAACTGTAATTTTCCTTTGGTGTCGGCTACATTTGTGATGAAAGTGAATTCAAAAGCACAAAAATAGCATCGCGTGTTCCTTTGCTTTGCTGTAGGTGCAAATAGCCGTCATGTCTAAACCTTTACTTTGAAAACATTTACAAATTTGCATTGSTATACAGTACAGTATTTATCTCAGCGCTGTTGGCATACGCCGAAAAAACGCAAAAATAAACGTGTTATCGCTCTTTAATATTAACAAGATCAAAAGATAAGTGAAATTTTGTATATTTTAACACAATTTGGAGGGTGAAAACTCAGTCTCCTAACACTTGACATATTGAATTGTCAACATCGTATTGTACTGTTTACTTTGTGAATGCTTCACAAAAGCTATAATCACATACTGCGAATTGGTCCTTTGGGAAGGAATTTGTGAGCCTAATGATTACTGCTGAACAATTTTCCAATCATTGTACTGAATAATAACCGTAAATTTTTGATTCTTTTTGTCTGAGAGAATCTCTGGGAATTTATTTCAAAAGTCGTGGATTTACGTGGGATCATTGATCTATTGATCAAAAAACTAAATTAATTCTAATTTTTAATTGAGTGTGACTAATCTCATTTGGTTTTCCAAAATGAAATATAAACCATAGAAAAGCAGTTTAAATCCCATTTTAGCTCTTAGGGAAGCCTATCGTTTTTCACTGACCTTCAAAACTGTGGTTTGTAACATGTCAAAATATCATATATATTTTTTTAACCCTTTTAAATTCCCTAAGCTCAAGTTCTTGATAATGGATTAATAATTCAAAGATACACAGATTTTATGATTGCAAATATAATGTTTTGAAGTGGTGGTTTTCATGAGATATTTTATTTAAAAAGTGCTGAGATCTAAATGCTTAATTGTTGTATTTGACCCTATCACTTAACAGTACTAAAGTGGGATATAGAAATACAAATACAATACTACTAAATTTACTATTAAATGGTGTAAAATTACAAGCTAATATGATTTAAACTTGTTAATTCCCAGGTATTCCTATGAAGAATTACTGCACAATTCCACATTCTGCCTTGTGCCTCGAGGACGACGTCTCGGGTCTTTTCGCTTCCTAGAAGTTCTCCAAKTTGGGTGTATTCCTGTCCTTTTAAGTGATGGATGGGAGTTACCTTTCTCAGAAATATTAGACTGGAAGAAAACTTTGATAAATGGCGATGAACAACTTTTGATGCAAATTCCAGGAATTGTAAGATCTTACAGTAAGAGTCAAGTACTAGCCATGAAGCAGCAGTCTTTGTTTTTATGGAATGCTTATTTTTCATCCATCGAAAAAATTGTTTTAACAACAGTGGAGGTGAGTGTTGATAAAAGATTTTAAAAATTAAAAGCAACATCAAAGGACCACATGCACCCAAGATTCTTTTCAGGCATTTCCTTTGTTTTGCAAATCTTTCGTTTAAAGGTGCTTTCTGATTGGTTCAAAAATCTAAGTGAACAAACGGTTTGAAGTTCATCTTACTGGCACACTCTTGATTCCATAAACTGTTCAATCTCAAGTGGACCCACAAGCTCAATAAAGCCAGTGAACACTCCTATACTCCTAAAGCCCAAGCTTGACTTTAAAATTAATGCAATTCTTATTTCTTAGATTATCAGGTCGAGACTATTAAAATCCAAAGCCGCTAGTTACGCAATGTGGAACAACTATCCAGGAGCACTCGTGACATCGCCGTTTTATTCAAGAGATCTTCAGGACTTTCCTTTCTATCATGTCAAACAAGGCATCAAAAGTTCTCGTTTCACAGCAGTAATTTATACAAAATCTACAGGCATAAAAGAATCTTCCTCATTATACAAGCTTATACAAAATGTCGCTGAATCAAAGAACGCTGCAAAGGTAAATACTAAAACTATGAAAAACTTAATTAAGTAATTAAGTAGTGTTAAATTGTATTATAAAGTAACTACTATATAATGTGCCARTTGATTGGTTGAAACATGCAAAAAGCCCTTGTTCCTCTGAGAGCATAGAAAAAAGGCTTTCAAGTAGAAGAGTTGTTGTAAAAGCATATAAAAGCATTAGTAGACATTCTCCATATGTCCATTCTCTCTTGGATTGTTGTGAGAACATGAGAAAGGTTTTGGAATCATGAGCTTAACGGAGGAAAAATGGAAAATATCGTATTATGTTTAGCTGAATTATGTGAATTCTTTTTTTCCTTTTGTCTAATACTATATTGCTATATTTAGCACTATATGGTTAGTACTTTTTAACACTTTAGTGCACTCTAGAGTATCACACTTAAACCCTGCAACTGTACAGACTAAATAGTGCTATTTAGTTGTATTTAGTAAATTGTGCAAGCAGTACGCAAATTAAATTGAATTGATACAAATGAAGCATTCAATACCATCTTGCTTCAGGTGCACTTTTAGTACAAATTAGCACTACTTAGATTTTGTACAGCTACACGGTTTAAGTGCGATCACTCTAATGTTTGTTAAAATATAGTGCAAAGTATAGTACATTTCAGCAGACAATTTATTAGGTATTCAAAGCATTAGGACCTTTTGATCCTGTATAATATCTTTTAATCATTTTTTTTAACATTGATAACATCAATATTGTGTTKTTGTCCAAAAATAGATAATAGTTATGTTTGTTTTTGATTCTAGATTTTAATTCTATGGATGTCAGATTCRCCGATTCCTGAAAACAGAAGATGGCCATCTGTAAGGTTGCCATTAATGATTGTCAGGCCAGATGTAAAGGTATTRTTTGAAGATATCAYACTTAATGTGTATGGCAGGCAGGCAGAGGGGGGAGGGGAGGGCAGTTAATGAGATTGGGAATAACAACATAAATATTTGTCATGTATAGGTGACATTGCTTTCATTGCTGGGTTGCCAATCTTAAACATCCTTCTTATTTAATCCTTCTTACCACATAGAATGGTCTTGTCCATAGAGATTTTGTGCCCTTAAATCAGTTTTACATGAGTACTTCAATGCCTTGCAGTTCTGCCCAAGTCTGCATTTTTGCAAGATCTGGGGCCTCWCAAGAAAATTTAGCCTGTGTTTTCAAATTCACTATTTTTTTTAATTCTTCAAATGGAGAGGTCTGCTGTAACCCCTTTGTGTGTGGATGTTGTTAGCATCACATATACTGTATAAACATAATACTTTGAATTTGATTTGATTTTCAGAATCCAAATAGCAGGTTTTTACCAAGGTCTATTATAGAAACAGATGCCATTTTATCACTGAATGGAGATGTAAAGTTGAATGTTGATGAGGTGAGAAGACATGAACAGTTTTGGGGTTCTCCAGTATATCATGCTAGCCTTAAATAAAATACTGTGCACAAAAT